CGCCCCCCACCACGATGCCGCCCCGGGCAACCGCCCGTGTCGCCCGTATCTAAAACCGCTACTGGCGGCACAGATGTTTCTGTATACTACGCCACCTTGTCTATGGTGTTCTATGTATCCCGTGCCAGCTAGCATCTTGCACCCTGCTGCATTTCTTTGTCTCTTTTACGCTAAGTATTAATGTGCTGGAAATTAAATGATTGAAACAAATGGTTTTTTTTGTAGTGTGTGTTCTCTCTATAAACACGATAGCATTAAAATGTGACTTACATTCACCTTGGTCATGTTGGCGCAGAGTCATTTTAATATGGCTTTGGTATGTACATTACAATAACAGGTTATAATTGTTTCTGAATAACTGTTATTTTTTGAAAAATAAAATAAACAGAAACTTTCACTTGAAATTCATCACTAAACAATGAAATGAATGATACACATGTACTATATCCATATAAAGCAAACAGTTACAGTCAAAATTATATCAAGTACATTAAAATGGTTAACAACAGGACAGATGAGAAAATCCTGCACTTTGTACTTGTTTTTACACTTGTATCTACAATGTTATTAAAGTATGTTTAAAAAGAACAAGAAACAAAAACGCTGTTTATTTTAAAGTAAATACTGACCAGAAAGTGAGCTGCTTTTGTATGGAAAGTCAGGAGTGACATAATGAATTAAAAACAATACAATATAAATATAACCTCAATAAATGAAGTCAGTGTTCAGTGGGGGTTATGGCAGCTGTGTACTGGGACCTGCACTTTGTCGGCAGTAATAACAGCTTGAGCGCTTGCGAGGCGAGCAGGTCTATCCCACGCTTTGCTGTGAGACTGGGCAGACATCTCCGAAATCATTGAAGCACTTTTGCAAAGAGGCTCGTCGACAAACCGACCAGATATCAGAAGATTGAACCAACACATTCTCGGCTAAAAAACATTAAAACTGTATCTGGTGACACACAAACAGGGTTTTTCAAAGTACAGTTCTGTTAGTTTCCACATGCCGGTTGTTGGTGTGCAGAAACTAAAAAAAATGGTCACCAGGCCAAAGCAATGGTTTTGACTCGATCAGCGTTAACAACGCCCCCTGGGTTTGATGGGTGAGGTTGACAGATAAAATTATTTCATGGTGAGAGCTGAAGGAGTCAACTTTGCCAAAATGAATTAATTAAATACACCATTAAATAATTAATTTAATTTAATTCTGCAACATGCTGTAAACTGAGTCAATCTGTTTGGAGGCCTGTGCCTTCTCCATGGTGGCACTTTGTGTGTTGTTGCCAGAGCAGACCGTCACTTCTGGACAGGCGTAGATGGTATCTGCTTTGTGGCTTTCCATGGAGATCATTTCCTCTCTTGAGCTGCTGGTCTGGTTGGACTGAAAGATGTCCACGCTCTCATAAACAGGGCCAGGATCATTGGAAGATGAGACTCTAGACTGAGATAATGGCAGTGTTCTTATGACCTGAACATTAGATGCTTGTGCATGGAAATAATGAAGTAAAAATATGTATTCAGTCATATTATCAGATGTACCAGAAATAACCTTCCTAATTCTAGGAATGAGCAGGTTATATGATAAATATCTGTTACCAAATACATCTTACCTGGTAGGATATGTATTTTGTTTTAATTAAACAGAAGGAAAATGCTCCGAGGATAATTAATATAGAAACAGGAATAAGTATTCCTTTTAGTATGAGTTGTTGTGATTTCTCTTCATCTTTATTAGATATAAAACCTGCAGATTTGAAAACATAGTTTCAATTAGTATTTTTTTTTCCATTTCAGACATAAAAATAAAATGACTTTTATGATAACAAATAAAAAAATCGAATAGTTTAAATTACAGGGAAAGATAGAAGAAAATATTCAATTTATTTGTCAAAAATAAAATCAGAAGCCTGTTATTTAAATGTAATATTTAATACTTACACAGTGTTAACTTTTCAGAAGCTTTATTTGTGCTAACATGGTTGTTGCCTCTGCAGACCACAGCTCTGTTCTCAGTGAAGATGGTGATGTTGACCTCACTGAATGATTTCTGGGATGTTCTGCAGCCGTCTTCATCACAAACAGACCAAAGCCAATAATCCTGGATGGAGCAGTTTACTGTGATACTGCAGAGTCCAGCAGACTGGTTGGAGCCAAGCTTTGACATTATAATGACAGGTCTGGGAACCACATCTGTAACATCGAGCCAAACAGATAAATTAATGATTTAATGCAAAAAGAGAACTAACAATGAACTGAATTATAAAATTGTAGGATATATGATGTTGTGGTTAAAGACAAGAACTGATTCTGTTTTTCTTTCAGTCACAAGGAAATGTAAAAGCTGACTGTAAGGTAAATGCTACTAAATCCAGAAAAATATAATATGTAAAATAGATTCATGCACAGGCTAAAGACAAAGTTCTGCTTATATCTTACCTTGAACAATGACTTGATGTTTCTCTGACACTGAAGCAAAGTTAAGGCGGTATGAGAGTTCATATATGCCAGTGTCTGTATCAGCCAAGTTATTAATACACAGGGAGAGGTTCCCAGCAGTATAAACCACTCTGTCTTTGTATATTGGATTGATTTCTGTACCATCAACAATAATTATTGTGTTAAATTTCCATTCACCACGTTTATATGGTGGCGGTTTCCTGACATTCAGACACACTGAGCTGTTTTTCAGTCGATAATATGTCGCTGTTGGGTCCTCTGCCATGAGACCT